TATATATGCTGTTACTATCAGTTTCTTTTTGTAGTGATGGAGTGGGAGATTATTGTCCAAAGTAACATGGGTAAGAAGCAAAAGCAGAATTTCAAAACTTTCCTTCAACCTGTCCAGTCTTTCCTTCCATTCATTCATCTATAGAAGTTCATGATAGTTTTCAATTTAATTGGGTAGTCTCAACCAGTATTTCTCTCTCTCTCTCTCTCTCTCTCATTGTTCATCTAGCTACTCCTTGCTGCTCTCCATTATTTTCACTTTCTCCAAGGTTAATAATGGGAGTACATTGCTTTAGGAGCTAAGGGAAAATATTGTAAAGACACAAGCCATGGAATTTTAGTTTGATGGAAAAAATGATTTAAAATAAAATGTTATAATACAGTGTACTAAGTGATATGAAGAAGCTAAGTACACCATAGTATGGGAGAATGGATAAGTGGCTTTTAAATCAGACTTGGAGTTCATGGAAGGCTTTAGAAAGGAGTTAGGTAGGAATTATAATAGATAAAGTACAGTTTAGACCAAGGGGCTTTAGGTATAAAAATACAATATCTATAAAGAAATAGTATTTTGAGAGCACAAATGTTTAGGACTCACAAGCAATTTTGAATGGTCTAGAAAAAAGTGTATGCAGTAGAGTGATTGGAAAAGTTAGAAGTGGTGGGGCTGGAATATAATGTTATACCAAAGAATTTGGATTCTTATTCTTTAGGAGAGTGGGAAATACTGCTTTTGAACAGGCAACTGTCAGAATCAGGTTCTTTGTTTTGAAGACAGCAGTGTATGATGCTCAAGCATTAGCACCCTTGTTTGCATTGTGACCCTTCTCTACAGTCCTAGAATGAGCAAAAGCAATGAGTTCTGTGGTCCACTATTTCCAGTAAAATTTGCAAAAGGGAGCTGTTTTAACTTCAGTGGTCTGTTTCTACTATAACTTGCCTCCATTACAGGTTAGTTGAGGCTGTGGGCATTTTTGGAAATCAGATAAGGGGAGTTTCAGGGTTACTTAGTCTGTGTTTAGTAATATAGATTAAAATGCCTTTGTAGTCACTTCTATATATAGCTAAATTATTGTCAGCCATCCTGGAATAGACATTCTGGTAAGAATCTTCCTACCCATCCAGCAGTTATAACATAAAGATGTAGGCCCAAAGGTCATATTGTGATATAAGCGTGTATTTATGATTTTATATTTGTTTCTTAAAGAAAGACCTTAAGCCATGTAAGCTTTAAGATCTACAAACTAGGATCTTTACCTGGAGCACTACTAGACAATAAACTATTATTAAAATGTTTAGCCCCATGAAAGACGAAGGTCTGAACCAAGGCAGTGGTAGTAGAAATGGAGGGAAAGGTTCAGGAGACAAAAATCATCCTGGGAGTGCAATCTAGGCAACTTGGCAATCATTTTGATAGGAGGTGAGTTTCATAAGCGGGTTATCGACTCTAGTAATGGGGAGGATGGAAGCCCATTTACCGAAAGGGCTTTCAGTGAATTATGGGAATTGCGAGTTTGAGTGTTTTAGGTGTCAGACAAATAGAGGAAATGGCTGGTCTGCAGCCCAGCTAAACACCCGGGTGTTTGGGGGATATATTTGCTGTATTGCTATATTTTCCACTTTCTAGAGACAACTTTCCACAGGTTTTTGGGGTTTTTTTTGTTTTGTTTTGTTTTGGTTTTTTTTGGCCCTCGCTTTCCTGTGCTCTGTCCCAGGAACAGCAGCCACTTCCTTGGGGCAGTGCCAGCCCTCCCTCACTGGATGTGGGCTCAGCCCTCCCACTTCGGAGGTGCAAGAGCGCAGGCACGGGGTGCAAGCACCAGGCATTGGCTTTCAGCCAGGTCTAGCATTCGTCCACGGTGGGGGCTCATGTATGTTTGTGCCTCTGCATTGCTTTCAGCAGTGTATTTTTCCTCATAAAGAGAACATTCTCATCCCACTTAATTCCCCAAACCTCCAGTGTCCCTGCAGGAAGTCAACGCACCCTCCAGGGAGTTTTGTTAAGTCTCCTGGCGCCCAGGCAGAGGTGCTAATGAGCATGAGTCAGCGCTGAAATCCCAGCCGGTAAATGCAGGCTTCATTACCTTGGGGGGGTTTGCACAGAGCTCAGAAAACCGGGTGAGCTGAGCTTCAAGTATGCGCTGACGTTTAGGTTCCCATGTATGAACCAGAAATCAAGGGGGAAAACTCTTAGCGATTAAGATACCAATTTCTTCAGCGAGTTTTCTCAGGGAAGGGATCATAGTCATTGCAGCCTTCTGGAATTCCAAATTAGCTATGTCCCTGAACTAGCTGGTATAGTTCAAGATTACCACTATCTTGCAACCAAACTCTTTCAGTGTAGCAGGATAGTTGAAGAAAACTTGACCTCATTATTAGTAATTGTGGAACAAATAGAAATACATAGTTTTATTAGTTTAGTACTTACAAATGCTAAGAATTCTAAATACGACGTTCACAGAATACCAAAATGTCGTGAACAGTAGTAGTCCAGTAGAAAATTTCTGCCACTGAAGATGCCTGATAATTTAAGTGTGTGAATACTAACTTGCTGTAATAATACCTGGAGTGTTAATTGAGTTTGAAATCTCACTTCTGTGAGTCTTATCCTGACTACCCTTTAAAAAAGAGTGTGACCTACTCTTCTTTTATTACATGCTTCAAATTTATTTTTTTCTCCATAGCACTTTTTACTTAGTAATATCTGGCATAATTTACATATTTTACATAGTCATTGTTTATTATTTTTCTATCCCACACTAGAGTTAAACTCATGGAAGTCAGGATTTTTTTTTTGCCCTGCATATTAATGTATTTCAAAGGCCCAAACAATTTTGGTTCATAGTAGGCAGTAAATAAATATTTATTCAATTAGTGAAAGAATGAATGTTATTTTCCAAAGAGCATAAAGTAGAGCCTGAATGGGCTTGCATGATTGTCCTAAACTACAGGGAACAAAGTTCTATTGAAAATTCTGGTAGTGAAGGTGGTCAACAAGTCAACAAATGTTTATTGAAGCCCTGCTATACCCCCAGCTCCTCAGATTTAGCATCACATCTCTACTAAACATACCGATACTTTAAAAACTGTATTATACCTTTTGGTGTTACTTGGGGGCAGGGCCTATTTGTTCACCTACATAGCACCCGTTACAGTGATATGTATGTACCAGACAATAAATATTTGTTGAAAGAGTAAAGGAATGAACTGGATAAGGGATTAGGTTACCTTCTAATCCAGTTATTTTTCAAATAAACATTTGTTTTGTGAAATTATGGTCTCTAAGAATAGTACTTGCAAATTGCTGCTTATTTCTCTGAAGGATTTGTAAGTTTTCTCTGATGAATTTTGGGTTTTCATTCCAGTGCTCACCTGAAAAATTAACTTACACATATTGGGTTATCTGGATCGCAGGACACTGACCCAAGGTTTTGGTGTTCCTGTTTGCTTTCTGTCTCTTTTTAGCATGCGAACACCACATAGTGTGATACTTTATGATAGGTTAATAATGCTGCCTAAAAAAGTAAATGATTTATTCACCCGAAATGAAGCTGAAAAGACATTAAGCCACTCTGTTGGAAGGGTGCACAGTAGTTTAGAAGGAGACAAGAAACAACAAAAAAAATGAGTCATAACATGTGGTAAAATAGGCTTACTTGAACTAGCAGTCAGTATCATATTCCTGTTCTGACAGGTGATTTAGATTGATAAAGCATAATCACTGATGTTTATAAACCAATACTTTTACATTAAATTTTGTTGGCTTTGTAGTTTTGTTTGCATTTATTTTATATTTTTTGTAGGGGTTTTGTAGCTATGAGAGCTATGATATAAAGATTTTAAGCCTACCTTTATGTTTGCACATATTTAATAATATCGTAATGAAGACAGTTTAATTTGGGGATGTGGGACCTTGAAAACGTTTTTTAATTTTAATGGGTTTTAGTGGGGTGTTTATATTTTACTCAAGTTTGTGAAAAGTAACAGCAAAAGTAAAGCTTCAGGGCCCAGGACACAGCATATTGATTTCATTAAAGTCCAGATGTAGTAGTTGAGTGCGGGACAGATATTTCTGCTACATCTGCTCCTAATGGTTCTGGTGGTGGTGAAAAATAGGAGAGAGGGACCCTAGGAAATGTAGGGAGATTGACTGGAGAAAAATGGAGGAATTTTAGATAAAGTTGTAGCTTTCTTTGATTTGTGCTTTTGGCTCCAAATGTGTGAGTTCCCTTTCTTAATGACTTTTCTCAAATGGCTAAATGAAATGTACTGTTTTGTCTCCTGATTTAAAAGAAAAATGCTAATTAGCATCTCTGTAGGTGATGCAAAACTCTGGTGTGGAATACTGGGAGACCTAAAGAGCTATTTAAACTTATCATTATAGGGAGGGGGTGGGCTGGGATGGGAATAAAAGACAGGAAACTGTACTTGAACAACAATTAAAATAAAAAATATATATTAAACTTATCACTATAGAAAATCAGAGGAAAGAGATGCATATTTTCTGATATTTTTCTGCCTCCTGATATCTATCCACCCTCAAATTTCTCCAACCCCCATGGCTCTGCAATGGGAAATAGGAATAGAAAAAGAAATAAGATGAGGATTTTATTTTTGTTTACATTATAAAAGGGATACTGGGAGCAGGTGTTGTTTCAGAGTCAGCTTTGCTGTCATGTCCAGAGAAATACTGTCTGGGTTCAGTTAATCAACAAATATTTATTAGCGCCTACTAAGTGCCAGGCATTATGTGGGGGGTAGGGCTGAAGACAAGGAACAATAGAGAGTTGCTGCCTTTGGAACTTAATAAAACTAATACTATTATTTCTGCCCTATTGTGTCTTTATCTTCATTTGGTACACTTTAGTTGGATACGAGTGGGCAGTTTGAAAATTTTTAGTGCATTGTTTATGCTGATTTGTCTGATTTCCAGGATAGAATACAGTTAGAAATTATAAAGGCTCAAATTAATTTGTTCTTTTTATCTTTTCTGCTTTTAAGGGGTGTCATGAAAGTGGACATAAGTCTTCAGAAAGTGGACATTGACCAATGTTCGAGTGATGGCTGGTTTTCAGGAACTCACAAATGTCACCTTAACAATTCAGAGGTAAGAACACAAAAATAAAGCCCTCTCACATCAGAAGCCCAGAAATGTACCACTTATGATGTATTGTATTCATGTGGGTAAGTAAACAAGAAGCATCTTACTGGACAAAAAGTCTCTTATGCAGGTCTGAATGTTGCCAAATGAACTGAAAAAAGAGTAGGAAATTAAATTTGTGCAAATAACTGTTCATTTGGAGGCTAAGAGAAGGCGGAAACTAAAATTATGTCTGAAGTTTGGTATTATTCAAAGGGTAACCCTATTCTTCAAAAGAGGCTGGAAATGAAAATAGCAATGAAGTGAAAAACCAACCCTGGAGCTGTCAACCTGTTTATGCATATTTTAATGGAATATGATGCTTATTGAAACCTTGATGCTGTTCATTCAAACACACTGCCATCTTTTAGAAAAGCAATAGAGAGAGTATGTCAGGAAAATACTGAAAACAAGGAGAAAACTGTATACAGGGAACTGTAAAGGAAATGTATATATTTGTGTGCATATTTTAAACTTTCAGTTTCTATCCATGCCTTATTTCATGGGATTACGATCAGTTAGGGATAGGCATAGAGATTATACACCTGGAAATAAGTCTCACTTTTCTGTTCTAGTTTCAGACAGGAAATGTGATGACATCCTTATTTCATTTTCAGTAATCTATTTCTGAGGTCACAAAATGTGGAGAATAAATGTACAACAAAGTTCCTGATCTTAAATACTTGGGCACTCCCAACTATAAGTTCATGAATTTGTGAGGAAAGTTAGCTAGATTTATTTAAAATAGAGGGAATATTTCCTTAACTGCAGTAACCTACATCTTTATTTTTTGCCCGTTGTGAAAGATGGTTGTAAATAGTACAATTTTAAGGTAAGGAATGTTAAACCAAAGGAAAATGAACAATAAACACTTACTTGTGCCAGTACACAAATAAAACTGCACAGACATGCACACAGCTATACATACATGTACATGTACCCATTGCATGTTTTCCTGTTGCATCCCCCACATGTCCTGCATACTTTCATACCGCCACCACTCCTCAGATAATGTTCTGAGTTCCTCACATTCCCCACTAACCTCTATGTACACCTCCACCTGCCCCCTTACTCCCTACCACAATATCCCTCAACCTTTCCACCCCTAGATCCCCTAATCCCCCATAATTCTCCACATACTTCTAAATTCATCACATATTCCCATCATATCCCCACGACCCCCACATCCTCAATACCCTGTGCACATAGCTCCCACACATGCCCACATCTTCTCCCACATTTTCATACCCATCCACATGGCCCTCATTTCCTTCACTCCCCCTAACTGGGATTCAATCATGCAAGGAAATGTTTCTGTCTTGTCAATTCAGTTAAGATCCTCTTTTCACCTTCTTTCTCTATTTATTCTTACAGCTTTGAACATTTCTGAGTCTCCACTTTCCTTTGGATGATTCTGGCATTTCTAAAGATATGAATTTCAGTCACTGATCTGGTGAATATCATTAGGTTGATTATTATGTCTATGCTAGTGATATATAGCCACTTAGCTTTCTCTTTTAGTCAGAATGGAATTTTTTCTGCATGACTGTCATCTCTATGTGCTCATTTCTGTATAGCCTTTTTCAGTTGTGTTCCTGGGTGGTTCAATAAGCAGTCTATTTAGAAACAAAGGTGTATCTCTTTTTCAGTTTGTTAAAGTTGCTGCTTGCTTCTAATAAACTTGGAATAGTTTTTGTTTCTTTACAGCATACCTATTTATTTGACTAGATGGCTGTGTTGAAAGAACCTCTTTGTCCTTTTGGAAGATTAATTTATTTTTATTGCATCAGTATTATTAACTTTATGGGCCTTGTTTCTTTTTAAAGCTTTCAAATAAACTAAGTTATTTCAAGATAAAATGTTATCCTCTATCCCAGTTAACAAAGATTAGGTTGAAATGTTTAACTTTGGGGATTACATATGAGAGTGTTATATAATTTTTTATTCTTATAGGAAAAACTAGAAAAACATATCTTACAAGACAACTCACAGTTCAATGACTCTTGTTTTAAAATGTGATAGAAAGAGGTCCAGTGGTCAAAAATAATATTATCAAACACTGAAATGTCTGTAAGACACACACTCTGGATCCCTCTACCCACTTTGCCTGTCCAGGTACTGGAGTTGGGAGTAGGAGATCTTGGTGTCCTGGGCTGAGCCCACGAGGTCCATGGTACTTAGTCTGACTCACACGAGGCTGTCACAGAACTCTTCCCACTTTTTGGTTGGGCTTCTCTAAGGTCCTGTAGTTGGTGCTGGTTACTCAGGATACCTGCAACAGTTTCATAACATATTCTCAGTCTCGTGACCAGCAATAGTCTCAATTCCCTCCTTGTACTGAAGTGCATTGGAGACTAGGAACTGGCTTCTCTTAAAGTTTTTATTGCTCTGGAAAACAGAAAGAAAAATTTCTTCTTCAGGTCATTTATCACCTGTACTGGCTCTCCTTTGTTCTTTGTCACAAATCTTCTATTATGGACCCTAAGAGTCACTGTGTAAATTGGTTTATTTTGGGAAGTAATTGACATGAGTCATGTTTGTGGGGTGTAGAGGCCAACCTTTGAGAACATTCGTATCATTAGAAACAGAGACAGTCATCCTGTTCAGTGTGGGTTTTATCTTGCCAATGTTTAACATCCTTATCTTGTAAAGACTAGAGGATGTTACAGATTTCAAAGTTATAATTGAGGCAAACTTTTCACTTAAAAATTTTTCCAGTGTGTTGATTTTCAGTCTCCAAGGTGTCTTGAACCAGAATAGCAAGTCTGATGTGGGAAGCAACTGGTATGTGACCAATGACAAAAGCCTTAGGAGTATTTTTAAAAGGTATGGAATGATTTGTAAGCAAAATAATTACTCAGTGGGTATGGGTCATTACAGAGTCTCTGAGGCTACTAAGCATTTTTTGAAGGGCACAGTAAAACAAAATCTGAATCAACAACCTGAACTGGATTGCAGGATTATTCTGACTGCTTTTATGTAACTGAGTTGGTTCACTGCAACATGGACCTGATCATGTCAGTATCCTACCAAATAATTCTTTACCTATTTTCATTGCCTTGTTTGCTTTGAGTACACAAATCTTCTCTTGTAGAATAGTGTATTTAAAACATTATAATAAATTGATACTTTTTTGTTTTAAAAGTATCCTTTTGCTTTGTTTCCATTATAAGAAAAATATTTTAATCATTGTTTGATGTAGGAAATATTAGGACAGTGTCCTTGAAACTTTCTGATTATATTATATTAGTAAAAATGCTTTACGTGTCCTGGCTGGTGTAGCTCAGTGGATTGAGCACAGGCTGCGAACCAAAGTATTGCAGGTTTGATTCCCAGTTAGGGCACATGCCTGGGTTGCAGGCCATGGCCCCTAGCAACCGCACATTGATGTCTTTCTCTCTCTCTCTCTCTCTCTCTCTCTCTCTCTCTCTCTCTCTCTCTCTCGCTCCCTTCCATCTCTAAAAATAAATAAATAAAATCTTTAAAAAAATAAAAAAATGCTTTATGCATCCACCCATAGTATGTGTATGTTTTTACCTACAAATTATACATGCATCTATCTTTCATTGCATATTCTATATATTATAAATCAAAAAACTTAATCAGGTTGAAGATAAAGATGAAATAATATTTTAATGTAGATTATATTTGATAAAAATAAGTGTATCTTTAATGTGAGCAATGTAACTGATTATAATTTTTGAAAACTTTTTAGTGAGTGTTTTGATTAGTTGTACTTCTTCATTTTAAAATTTTAGTTTAATACTTAGTAATGCAATGATTCAGAGGTCTCTAAGTTCAGTTTATTTTTATACTTAGTTTTCATGTCTGTCATAGCAGAAAATAATCTTTCACAAGTATATGTCATTTTGAATTGAAGAAGTAAGTTGTTGATTGTGTTTGCTAAATCACAGAGCTCATTTTTCAGCTCAATCTATCAGTTTTTCCAAGGTTTTTGCAGAAATACAGCTGGTAATTTTTCATTTTAACTGATGTCAGTTGGTCCCTGAAAACTAATTGAAAAGCTGGACATTTTAATATTTTAAAGGAATAAGTTTAAAATTCACTCTAACTTCTACAAGGAATATTTTCAAACAAATTAGGACATTTTATTTTCAAGTTTAAACTATATGGCTATGTGAGTATTTATAGTTTTTGGCAACAAAAACCACATAGCACTGAAAGCACTTCCAAATATCCATTTTCAAAATGTTCACTTCAAAAGGCTTACTCATGGATTATTTAAATGTCACTTTACTTTGAAGGAACAGCTTAGATTTTTTTTTGAAAATACCTGCTGCATAAACACTGCTGACAACCACTTGTCATTTCAGGGCAGGGGAGCAAATTGGGAACATTTCTGTTTTTTTGTAAAGAACAATGCATAACTAATCTTTGAGTTCAGAAACAAGTAGTTTACTTTGAGATAATCAGAACATCTTTATGTAGAAAAGATTTTCCAGGTCACACAGAATCTCATTATGAAGAATTATAAATATTTTGTAATTTTAGGTAATATACTCTATAAATTCACTCCAATGGTCAAAGTATAAATGGTAAGAAATTCAAATTTAAAAGCAAATGAAGGAACCAAGTAATTGCTATTAGGATTTTTGTCTTGAAGCTCTCCCTTTTCCTTCAGGACACCTCAAGTACCTTATCAACATTATGGTCATATGACATGTGGACTGATTGAGGGCATTCCTGGTGATCCAAGTCTTAAGTATTAGTAAAGCTTAATTTACTTCTTTTTTAAAATAAAAAACTTCATTGTAAGTAAAAGTACTAATATTTTCTCCTCACTGCCAATTAACTTCCTGTGTCCTATGCTTTGAAGACCACTTCATGAGGTTATTAGCCTTACTGTTCTATCTGCAATCATTGGCATGGTTGGGACATCAGCTCTGCCAATGGTTTTGTATACTTACTCTAAGATAGTTTTTGAATATCCCTTTTTTTCTATTGAA